CCAGGGCTGCGGGCGCATCTCGAGGCTCCGCACTGGGAGCCTGGCCCGGCGGAGTGGCGAGTCACGGTGCGGGTGCAGGGTACCCCCATGCACCCTCTGCTCCAGGGCTTGTGTCCACCCTGCCCAGGCCCCCTGGGCCCATTGCCGGGGGGCCAGTGGGAGGAGGGGCAAGAGCCAGAGCTGCTGTTGAAGCCCAGAGCTTCTCAGGGCGGGGCCCCGTTGGGGGTTGGCCCCACCTGCCTGAGGGCACGATGTGGAGTGAAATCTGGGTGGGGGCAGCCTGGCATGGCCCAGAACCCCCTCCTGTGGGGAAGGGAAAACCTGCCCTTGAGTGAGTGCCAATAGAGAGCCAGGGTCTCCATGCAGCGTGTCCGTCCTCAGGGGGCTGGGGACTCAGGGACTGTCGGAAGTGTGTCTGGTACAGAGAGGGGGGCATGCAGACTCATCACAGCAGAGACAAAATAACTAACGGTTGGTTGGGTACACACAGGAGACCTCGCTGTTGGTGAGTTCACTTTGTTGACTTTACACTCAAGCAAAAGTGAAGTTCTGGGGGGTTCAGTTCACACATTGCAATGTAGGTTCTAGGGTAGGGTAAGATCTTCCCATTAGAGAGAAGGTGTTGTGTGAAGCCAGGACTTCTCTGTGGAAGGCTGCTGTGGAGAATTCAGGTGGTGTGTACATGCGCCTCTCACAACACAGTTGCTGGTGGTTAACTGAAGGCTCCTTATCCCTCTCTCAGAAGTTGAGTAATTGCCAGAGCAGCCTGGTTTCGCAAAGGAGATGGTCCTGAGCTCTCAGAAGGCCTTCCCTTTTCAGAACCAAATTGCCTCTCCTGGCAGTGGTTATAAACCCTTGTGATCTGCACTTCCCCCTACGCTGCCCTCTGATTGGCAGCCTAGGAAATGGGCACGTTAGCATGGAGCAGGGCCCTCCGCAGTGTGAGACTCACGTGTGTCTTTGCACAGGCAATGAAAAAATGTTCCTCAGAGTGGGGTGGCCAGGGGGTCTGTCAGACTTGCTGGGCTCCTGAGCAAGTGGCGGTGGGGCCCAGCTCAATGCTCCCAGAAGGGGTGGGACCTTGGGCAGAAGGGGCAAGGCCGGAGCTGCCAGCCCTCAGCACTGCACCATGCCATATCCCCTCTCCCCACCAGCCCTCAGAGCTGCCCGTGACTCCAGCGGCAATTTAAAGGACCTAGAGCTTTGGCTGCCGCTGCTCCTGCAACAACCCCAGGCCCTTTTGAATTGCCAGGCCCTGGAGCAACTGCCCCTTTTGCCTCCCACTCCCACCCCCACATCAGCAGGCCTGGGGGTATCTATCACATTGTAATCTCTGCCGTGCCAAATATCTAACTCATTGTTTTTCTACTATAGAAATTGGGATCCATTCTGCAGATCATCACCTGAGAGTCTTTTCTCCATCCAATGAAAACCTGCTAAGAAATGGTCCTGCTCCTTGTACCTGTCCAAATTCCCAGACAGGAAAGAACTGACCTGGGTATGAGGAGAGCAGCTGAGTTGGCTTTCCAAGAGGATGTCTGTCCATGAAGAGCTAGAGGGCAAGTTTTCAGCCACCACCACCATGGCCACGGAGGCAAATGAAGGAAGCCCATTCCAAATCAACCCCAATATTTCCTACAATGCCACCTGGGACAGTGCTCCAGCTGCCAGTTTGATGGAGGACATGATAGCAACTTGCACTATTGGAACCATCCTCTCCATCATGTGCGTGATCGGTGTGACGGGCAATGTCTACACCCTGGTGGTGATGTGCCATTACCTGAGGTATTCTGCCTCAATGTACATTTACATCATCAACCTTGCCTTGGCAGACCTGCTCTACCTGCTCACCATCCCTTTCATCGTTGGGACGTACTTCCTACAGGAATGGTACTTTGGAGATGTCGGCTGCCGCATCTTGTTCAGCCTGGATTTCCTCACCATGCACGCCAGCATCTTCACCCTGACAGTCATGAGCACAGAGCGCTACTTTGCGGTGCTGAAGCCCCTGGACACTGTGAAGAGGTCCAAAAGCTACCGGAAAGCCATTGCTATCCTTATCTGGGTGGTGTCTCTGCTGCTCACGCTCCCGATGCTCATCATGATCCAACTGGTGCAAAGAGACAGCAAAAGCATCTGCCTGCCCACCTGGAGCAAGCTATCCTACAAAATCTACCTGACCATCCTCTTCTGTACCAGCATTGTGGGTCCCGGGGTGATCATTGGGTACCTTTACATTAGACTAGCCAGGACCTACTGGGTGTCCCAAACAGCCTCTTTCAAACAGACAAAGCGGCTGCCTAACCAAAAAGTGCTATATCTCATTTTCACCATCGTGCTGGTCTTCTGGGCTTGCTTCTTGCCCTTCTGGATTTGGCAACTCCTCTTCCAATATTATGAATCCTTCCCGTTGTCCCCCAAGGCGATGAGGAACATTAACTACCTGACAACCTGCCTGACCTACAGCAACAGCTGCATTAACCCTTTCCTCTACACTCTGCTGACCAAAAACTACAAAGAATACTTGAGGAACAGGCAGCGCTCTTTCAATAGCAGCAGTGGCTACTTCCAGAGGAGGAATCGATTTCAGAGGATTTCTGGGAGATCCCTTTCCACGAGCAGTCAGCATTGCACAGAGACCTATGTGCTCACTCATGTCCCTGCAGGAACCAACAGTGCCTGAAAGAAAAACACACCTCCAAGGGAATCACCGTTATTCATTTCAGTGCTGAGTTTCTTGAAAGTGCAACATGGGAAAGGCAAAGTCTTAGCAGATTCAGAATGTGTTAAAATTGGGCAGAAATTGTGCTGTCGCTCTCTGCACTCGCTTATATCCAGCACCATTGATTTGGTTGCTCACTCAAAGCTTTTCACTTTTTTCATTTTTTTCCCTATGCTATGTTGGTGTATTTCTCCCCCTGAAGCTGTAATGAGACCCTGTAATACTGGCACTTTTTAAAATGATCTCAGCTGTCACACAACATTTAAAATTAAGTTATTGAAGTATTGACTTATTTTACTGTTGTTCTAAAAACACAAATGCTGGGCTTGAGGAGCCAGGCTGTACAGCAAGTGAAAGCAGCGAAATTAAAGAAAAAGCAGCTTGTGTTCCAGCCAGTGTGTGCTCCTTTGTAGGGAAGTTGCTGGAGGGTTTGTGTGGGCAATCAGCCTTGGTTCTGGACTAACTCACCCTGGTGTTACAGTGGTATTCATCCACTGTGCCTGCTGCTCCTTAATTCCAGTCACTGTACTGGTAGTAGCAAACTACTCGTGTACATGAGAAGAGAGAGTCTAATACTTGGGTTTGGTCAACAAACACACAAATGGGGATCCTCACAAATGGGGATTCCCCTCCCCAGTCCGGGGTGACCTTTCCTCCCCCATATCATACCCAGTAATTCTCCCCTCCGCTCACACACAAGTGGGAATCCATGGCAGCTGAGTCCAGTAGGACAGATGGGCACCATCAATGTTAGCAGCACCCCTCAAAACAAACACTTCTCTGGGAGGAACATTTTGGGCTTTGTCCCATGGTGCCTAAACCCAGCTTCCCTTTTGCTCCCAGCACCAACACAGAAAGGCTCCAGCGCGCTGACCCCTGGCTCCCGTTCCTTGTGATGATAACGCTATGAAATGCAAAAGGAATTGTAGCTGATGGACAGAATTAGAAGCAAATTAAGGCATGGGGCCAGCCCGGGAGCTGCTGTGAGTGAGGAACATTCCACTGGCGGATGAACTGTACTCACAATGTAGCTGGCAACCTTCTGTCCCCGTACAGAACATTTTACCCTGGGGTTCCTTGAGGATAATGGAAACTGTCTCTATTGACTTCCTGTGCTTTAAAAAAAAGAATTCTCTGCATGGATCTAGCACCCCCCGCACATTGCCAAGGAGGGAAATCATTAACGTCTCCATGTTATGCACAGGGATTCCCAGGCTCAGCATTTCATTGACATGCCATCATACAAGTCAGCTGCTGCAACAAGAATAGACCCACAACTTCTGAGTCCCAGTGCATGGCTCTAGCCACTAGGCCACACTGTTCCCAAAGATTCAGCTGCTCCTCAAGGCATAGCAATTACTGCACTTTGCAACTTGCTCTTTCCTGTTTTCAGATAGCAACAGCCCATAATAATAATCCCTGGTTTTTATATAGTCCCTTTAATCTGTAGCTCCCAGGCAACTAGACAAAGGGGTTAAGTATCACTATCCCTGTTTTGCAGGTGGGGAAACTGAGGCACAGAGCAGTGCAGTAGCTTGCTGAAGGATCACACCTTTTCCTGGGATCTACGCAGGGCTTGCTCATTTACTTGCATCTTTATTGAGGGTCACATTTTAAAATGTGGCCTCGAGCGTGGAGATTCGGGAGCATCACTTGAAGGCAAAAGGAGGCACAGCCACTCAGCGCCTCTGTTGGTCAGGCTCCAGGGCCCAGATTCTCAAGAGAGCTCAGCTCTCATCTCTGCACTACATAACATGGCCAGCGTTTCCAAAGGCTCAGCTCCCTGTGCCCTGATCAAGAGTCTGTTCCACTCCTTGACATTCACCTCAGTGGCAGCTGCTTGGGGGAGATGATTCTGTGTCTACGAAACAAATATAAATCTCTGACCAGCCTGCTTAGCCCCATGCAGATCCTTGCACCTCTCAGAACCGCCTGTTGTGCTTCGCTCTAGTAAAGTGAATGCCTGGACTTTGCTCAAAGTGGGCAGGCAGTAGCCACAGACAGCCTGCCAGTGCAAAGAGCAAGCCAAGTGCCCAAGCCGTGTATTACAGCCTGGGCAGTACTAAGGAGGAGCTACCTTCTGGTAGACAGGCAGAAACTACTTGGTTAAAGGCATCTGTAAAATCACGATTGTGGCTTATTGGTTCCTTCTGGCAGGAATCTATGACTAGTCAAATCCTAAGGACTCAGTTCTGACCTCAGATCAGGCTCCCTAGAAATCTGTGGGAACTCTGGGGAGAGACGTTCCAGAATGTGTCTGTACAGCTGCACCTCCCTTGATCAGTGTCGCAGGGTGCTGGTGCAAGAGCACCTCCTTAGCCCCTTCCCCTTAGCTCCAATCAAGAGGAACAGTCTTAATTGGGAGGATAAGCAGCCCCGGGAAGGGGGCTGGTCATGCACCCCATTACACATGGGGGCTTGTGCAGGATCTTCTGCCAGAGCTAGTTTGGTGGCCCAGGGATGGATGGCTCCCTGCAGTAGCTGGCTCAGCAATAAGGGGAAATGCAGAAAACACTGCAGGCCTTCCAGCAGCCCCGCCAGCTAGGGTATGTCTACACTACCCCGCTAGTTCGAACTAGCGGGGGAATGTATGCATACCGCACTTGCTAATGAAGCCCGGGAAATTCAAATCCCGGGCTTCATTAGCAAGTGCGGGATGCATACATTACCCCGCTAGTTCGAACTAGCGGGGGAATGTATGCATACCGCACTTGCTAATGAAGCCCGGGAAATTCAAATCCCGGGCTTCATTAGCAAGTGCGGGATGCATACATTACCCCGCTAGTTCGAACTAGCGGGGGAATGTATGCATACCGCACTTGCTAATGAAGCCCGGGAAATTCAAATCCCGGGCTTCATTAGCAAGTGCGGGATGCATACATTACCCCGCTAGTTCGAACTAGCGGGGTAGTGTAGACATACCCTGGGCACCTTTGGACAAGACAACCTGGGCCCTGCAGTAGCCCCGTGTCTCTCTGGGGAAGTGCAGGCAATGTACATGGCACTGGGCCAGGGACTGTGACATGGGGAAGGCAGCCATCTTGGACCGCCTGGGGCTTTCATGTGAAAAGTACCCACAAAAGTTTCAGTCAGCCCGGTGGACAAGGGGTGTGATGCCCCAGGCCTTCTCCCAGAAACTGACAGACTGGGCTATGCGGCGGTTGAGGCCCAGTGCCCAAATGGTGGGGCAGATCATGGACCAGGTGATCCTCTGAAACAGGGTGGGGAACCTTTTTTGGGCTAAGGGACACTGACCCACAGCAAAATCAGTCAGGGGCTGGGGGCTGTGGGGAGAGAGTGGTGAGGCTGCAGTACCAGTGCAGGTTCCCCAGTGCTGGGGGAGGCCCTAATTCTCAGGGGCCAGATCCAGGCAACCCAGGGACCGCATCCAGCCCTTGGGCCTTAGGTTCCCCGCCCCTGCCCTAATAGTTTGTGCAGGGCTTCCCTGACAGCGTGTGGGTCTGGGTGTGGTGAGATCTTGAGAGAGGAAAGACCCCCCAAGAACCTCCTTTGAAAAGCCCCCAGCCACCTGAGACAGCTTCTAGCCTAGCACTGGAGTTGCCAAGACCTAAGAATCAGGATTGTCTAGTGATGGTCCTACCTCCAGCGTTCTGTGGTAGGACCTGGGGTGGGGGTGTGGAGGAAGAGGTGTGAGTTAGCTACCATTCCTGTGCAGGTGGGGAGCAAGCAGTCCTCTCTGGGGCTGCATACGCCTCAGCCTGCTCCCTCAGACAGGGCACTTGGCACTTATCAGAGGAGAGAGGATGCTGCTTAAAGGCATTCTTGGGGATGGAGATGGGGAGTATTGTTCCATGGCACAGGTCTTCCTAGAGGTTCAGGGAGGGTTTGAGTGGAAATGGGGGCGTTTGTCAAAGGGTTGTCCTACCCTGTGGTCCTGGGGGTGGGGTGGGACCCT